CCTCAGCTGATGGACTGTGTCATGTGAAAACATTACAAAACAAGTGAACAAACAAGAAAAAACATTTAAGTTCCACTTTCCACATACTAGATTTCATCCACTGTCTAGCTGGTGGATGGGTAGCCCTTTGTGCATACCTTGTAGGATAGGGAGAAGTTCTCCAGAAGAAAAAACCTTCAATCTGCCCTCGATGCTTGCTCAGACTGAGCCGGACCATACCATTGAGCAGTTATGTAAGAAAGGGGCCTCTGTTGAATTTTCTAATGACAAAGTACTCGAGTGAGAGACTTGATGGGCATGCTGAACTTTAGAAATTTTCTCCTCATGTGCTCCTCAAAACTGGGGACGTTTTCTGTAAAAAGATGTGTTTTAAACATTGTCCTGTATACCTGAAACTAATAACAAAAAAATAAAGGCGATGGTAAAATAAAAATGTTTTAAGATAGGATCTGAGAAATTGTAGGTGGTTCACTTCATGCGGGTTCTAAGAGATCATGACTCATTAATTGCCCTCAGGTCAGCTTTTAAAAAATATAAAAAAAAATTTAATGATTATCCAAATTACGTATTGTGTGGAAAGGTACTCAGGCTTATACACCTGAGGAGTTCTTAGCCTGGGGCTTAGCATATAGCAAGCACTCAATGACAGTTGATTCTGAGCTACTTTTTGTAGTTTCTTTATAAAGTATAGCAATGTACTAACTTTTGGTGAATATGATTCTTTAATGTTGGGAGAGCAAATAAAACCATTAAAATTGGGCATCTGGTCCAAATTGGATGTTATATAGGAATCTCATACATCTATGTTCCTAAACTTTTTCACCACTAAATACAACTTCTGAAATTTCTACCAGAGTGCTTTGAAGGTTTGCCTATCAAACACACCACTTACGGATTACTTAATTTCACCATTTTAATTAATCAAAGACGAAATGTTTCTGACAAAAAAGGTTCTATTAAACATGATGGATATCATTCAGCATTTTATCCTTAATATGCCATCAATTCAACACAACAATCCCAGTGGTTAGTGTTATTAACTGCATTTTACAAATGAGGAAACTGAGGCACAAAGAGATTAAACTCACTCAGGGTTGCATAACTAGTAAGAAGCAAAAGCAGGATTCAAGCTACTTGGGTCTCTGCTACTCTATCCATTCTAGCATTCAAATTCTTGAAACCAGTTTTAGCATGAATGGTAGTGCAATTCTAGCAATCTCACTCATGTATTTACCATAGAGATGCAAATTTATGTAGACACAAACATTTGCACATGGATTTTTTCCACAGCCCTACTTATAATCCCCCAAAACTGGTAACAACCCAAATGGGGTACATTCATACAATGGAATACAATTCAACAATAAAAAAGGAACAAACTATTGATACACACAACTTGGATGGCTCTCAAAAGCATTATGCTGAGTTAAAAAAAAGCAAGATTCAAAAGATTACATACAGTTTGATTCCATTTATGTGACATCCTCAAAGTGACAAAACTATAGCGATGGAGCACAGATTAGTGGCTGCCAGGGGTTGGGGTGGGAAGAGAGTGTGACTAGTGGTAGCACAAAGGAGTTTTGGGGGTAATGGAACTGTTTTGCACTTTGTGGTGGTGGTTATACTGATCTACACATGTGTCAAAATCCACAGAACTATATACTCCCTCCCAAATCAATTTTACTGTTTGATAATTCTTTAAAAGGCAATAGGTCTTTTCATTTAATGCTATTTTGTTTTCCCCATTTACTCACAATACACTTCTACATTTTGCATATTTAAAAATTCAGAGTTACACTATAATGTGAAGCAAAAAGCCATTATCAGGCTATGCATCCAAACTGAATGAAGAACGTTATCTCTTTAAGTAAACATTCCTTAGCTTTTTTGCAACAAGTTTGCTGCGAGAACACAGGTGTCATGAGAACCACTACTAAATATAAGCCAAAATGGAAAAGGAAAAGATCGTCGCTACTGGACATGAAGATTCAGGCAAGTCTACCACTACTGGCCATTTGATCTACAAATATGGTGGGATCAACAAAAGGACCATCCAAAGAATTGAGAAAGAGGCTGCTGAGAAGGGAAGGGGCTCTTTCAAGTACGCCTGGGTCTTGGATAAACTAAAAGCTGAACATGAGCGTGGTATAACGCCTGTGGAAATTTGAGACTAGCAAGTATTACGTGACCATTATTGATGCCCCAGGGCACAGAGACTATCAAAAACATGATTACAGGCACATCTCAGGCTAACTTGCTGTCCTGATTGATGCTGCTGATGTTGGCGAATTTGAAGCAGGGATCTCCAAGAACAGGCAGACCCATGAACATGCCTTTCTGGCTTACATATTGGGTGTGAAACAACTAATTACTGGTGTTAACAAAATGGATTCCACTGAGCTACCCTACAACCAGAAGAGATACAAGGAAATCGTTAAGTCAGCACCAACATTAAGAAAATTGGCTACAACCCTGACACAACAGCATTTGTTCCAATTTCTGATTGGAATGGTGACAACTTGCTGGAGCCAAGGGCTAACATGCCTTGGTGCAAGGGATGGAAAGTCACCCATAAAGATGGCAATGCCAGTGGAACCATGCTGCTTGAAGCTCTAGATTGCATCCTGCCACCAACTTGTCTGACTGACAAGCCTTTGCATCTGCCACTCCAGGATATCTACAAAATTGGTAGTATTGGTACTGTCCCTGTGAACCAAGTGGAGACTGGTGTTCTCAAACTTGGCATGGTGGACACCTTTGCTCCAGTCAACGTACAACTGCAGCAAAATCTGTTGAGAAGCACCATGAAGCTTTGAGTAAAGCTCTCCTGGAGACAATGTGGGTTTCAATGTCAAGAATGTGTCAAAGACATTTGTTGTGGCAATGGGGCTGATGACAGCAAAAATGACCCACCAAAGGAAGCAGCTGGCTTCACGGCTCAGGTGATTATCCTGAACCATCCAGGCCAAATCAGTGCTGGATATGTACCTGTGTTGGATTGTCACACAGCTCACAATGCTTGCAAATTTGCTGAGCTGAAGGAGATTGATTTGTTGTTCTGGGAACAAACTGGAAGATGGCCCAAAGTTTTTTAAATCTGATGATGCTTCCATCATTGATATGGTTCCTGGCAAGCCCACGTGTGTTGAGAGCTTTGTTGTTTGTGACATAATACAGACAGTTACTGTGAGTGTCATCAAAGCAGTAGACAAGAAGGCAGCTGGAGTGAGCAAAGTCTCCAAGTCTGCCCAGAAAGCTCAGAAGGCTAAAAGAATATTATTTTCAATACCTGCTACCTCAGTGGTGGAAGAATGGTCTCAGAACTCTTTGTTTCAATTGGCCATTTAAGTTTAATAGCAAAAGACTGGTTAATGATTACAATGCACTGTAAAACCTTCAGAAGGAGAATGTTCTGTGGACCATTTTGTGTGTGTGTGGGTGTGTGTGTGTGTGTGTGTGTGTGTGTGACAGTTTTTAAGTTGTGGTTTCTAAAATCAGTACTTTTCAATAGAAACAACTTTACTAAAAATCTGTCACAGAATTTTGAGACTCATGAAAACAAAGTTTAATGAGAAAATAAACACTTCTTAAAAGTTAAAAGAATTTGGGTGCTTATTCCCTTAAAAATAAAAGTATTTCAGCAAATTATTAGATATCATATTTGACATAGCAATTTGCACAATAAAACAAAAGTGATCAAAATTCATCCTGGGAAAGATAACATAATGCAATGAGGATGTCGTAAGAATAACAAGGACAACCATGGCTCTTTCTACAATTTTTCAACAATTACTAGAATGCATTCATGTATCTCTAATATAATTAAAAAAAATTAAATCCTTCTAGGTTGAAATGGAGATATTTCCCAAGTTGCAACATTCTTCCATCCACAGGGTTTCCATCGCTTTTGGGAACACCTTGGTTACTCCATTACCAGGTCAGGCCTGTATTCTACTTAAAATCTAGTACCTCACTCATCTAGTACAGTGGGCACTCAATAAATATTTGTTAAACTGAATTGCATCTGGAAATGTGAGGAATAAAAATGACAAACACACGGTAGCTAACAAAGCCTATAATCTAGAAAGACTAAATCATGCTCTAATTTTGAGTGAGGCAAATTATTACTGAGTGCTAACAATGTGCTTAATAATTAAAAAGGCATACATGGAATTTTGGAAGAGGACAAGACAAACATAACATAATGCCAGTGGTATAGAAATTTTTAAAGCCTAAAACAGGCAGAACCCAAACCAGAACCAATTATTCCTAGATCCCTAACTATAAAACAATAAAATTCAAGGGGATGAGGAAAAAAATAAGGGAAGAGCATAAGCTGTACTGAGTTTTATGGGTCATGCACTGCATTAGACATTTATGTAATTAAAATTTATTTTAGGACTCAAGTTTCAGCTACAACATGCAAAGCACTGAGAAGCCATCATTCCCACCCTTCCAAGAAAGAAGCTAGACAAACTTCTTGTACCTATCAGAGAACTGAGGTCACAGGGCAAACCAGCATCTCCATATCTGGAGTCAGGTGCCTGCACACATGATCTGAGCATGTAAATCAGTAGGAAGATTAAACTAAAAATTCTGATAAATTACTGGAGGCCAGAGTTTAGGAAGTCATGAGAGTATGAAACTCCTGGGCTCCACATGGGAGAGGGGCATTCCCATAGTCTTACAAGTTTTTGCTATGGGAACTCCACCAGGTTCTTACATTGAGGATAGGGGAAATTCAGAGAAAGCTCTCACCATGGTGCTGGTTGGCTGAGGAAAACAGTATCCACTGTGAAATCCACCGAGACCCCTTTCCTTTATCCCCAGTACAGAACAAAAGGCTTAATAAGCAGTGGGAAGGGCTTAAAACCCATGGCTTGAGGACACTGGTGTTCTCACTACAGCAGGGGAAAAGGAACAGAGGAAAAAGAAAGAGAAGCTCCACCCCTGGAAGAGGGGCAGGAAATCTTGTGAAGGACAAACTCAAGACCCAGTACCTGTGTAAGTCTGAGGCGTAATCAGGTCATCAAAGAACTCCCTCCTCTTCCACCAGCCACCACCTGGAAAAATGGTTTCATAGTTAGTAACAGTGGAATACAACTGGGAGGGCTGTAAGATACAACTCTTGGGAAACAGCACAAAGGAAAAACTCAAAGCCAAGCAGGAGGCAAAAAGAAGCTATCGTTAGAGGAATCAGAAATCTCTGGTGCTCATAGCAAAGACAAACATCAAACACAAGCCAACTCCTGCCTAGATTAACTTGAGTCCCCACACTAAAGGCCCAGCATGAAGAAACCTGTGTTCTTCATCAAAATATCAAGTATTTATCTCAGTATCTCCTGCCTGTGTTCAGCTTTCAACATGCTTATGAGGCATAATAAAAGGCAAGAAAATATTCCAAGTGACAAAACAATCATCAGATCCAGACTCAGTATGACCCAGATGTTGTGACTATCAGAAATAAAATATAAAAGAATTTTGGTTAATATGTCAAAGACTAATTAACCAAAAGACAAATGCAAGACCAAATGGATAATTTCAAAGAGAAGCTGTAAGAAAGAATCAAATGGAAATGCTAGGAATAAAAAAACACAGTAAAAAAAACAACATGCTCAACAGCTCTGACACAGCCCAAGAAAGAATCAGTGAACATGAAGATCATGTTTATTGATCAGGACAATAAAATTAAAACAAAAAGAGACAAAAGAGTGAGAAAAATAGAACACAGCATACAAGAAATGTGGAACAATATCTTTTTCTATCTCCTTCCTTTTGGTCTGTGTGTGTCTTTTAATCTGAAGTGAGTCTCTTGTAGGCAGCATATATAGGAGTCTTGTTTTATTACCCATTCAGCCACTCTATCTTTTGGTTGGAGCACTTAATTTCCATATGAGGTACTTGTTGATAAGAATGCATATTACCATTCTTTATTCATGTTTTTAATACATGTTTTTTCTTCTTCAAAAAGTCCCTCCAACATTTCCTGTAATTTTGGTTTGGTGCTGATAAATTCCTTTAGCTTATTTTTGTCTGGGAAGCTCTTTCTCTGTCTTTTGACTCGAAATGATAACTTTGCTGGATGAAGTATTCTTGGTTAAATTCCATTAGCTTATTTTTGTCTGGGAAGCTCTTTATCTGTCCTTCAACTCTAAATGATAGCTTTGCTGGGTAAAATAATCTTGGTTGTAGTTCCTGGGGTTTCATCACATTGAATATTTTGTGCCAAGCCCTCCGAATAGTTTCTTTTGAGAAATGAGCTGCCAGTCTTATGAGTGCTCCCTTGTAGGTAACTGCTTTTTTCTTGCTGCTTTTAAGATTCTCTTTGTATTTAACGTTTGGCATTTTAATTATAATGTGTCTTGGTGTGGGCCTCTTTGGGTTCCTGGTTTTTGGGACTCTCTGAGCTTCCTGGGGTTGTATGCTTATTTCCTTCACCTGGTTAAAGAAGTTTTTCTTTATTATTTCTTCAAATAGCTCTTCGATTTCTTGTTTTCCTTCAGGTACCCCGATGACACAGATATTTTTGCATTTAATAGTGTCCCATAGGCTCCTTAGATTATTATTATAGTCTTGGCTTCTTTTTTCTTGCCATTCTGATTGAGTGTCCTTGGCTTCTCGTCCTCTATATAGAGCATTTGATCCTCTTCTTTATTTACTTTGTTTATTCCATTTAATATACTTCTTATCTCAGAGAATATGTTCTTCATTTCTGACTGGTTCCCTTTTATGATTTCCATGGTTGACTCCATTTTTCCTGGATCTCTGTTCTGTTCTCTCATATGGTTTCTGCTTCTTTGTCTTCCCATTTTGGCTGCCTTTCTGTGTCTGTTTCTATGTAGTAAGCAAAGCTCCTAAGTCCCCTGGACTTATTAGCATGGTTTTGTGTAGTAGGTGGCCTATGACATAGTCCTGAGTTCAGCTACAGACCAAGGTTAGCCCCAGCCTGTGCCCCTCTGGGGCCACCTGTTAAGATTCAGAGGACAATCCACAGATGCTGTGCTTATAGCTGCCTCAAGAAACCACACCAGAAACCAAGGCCAATTGCCTCCAGTGTGAGTCTTGGTGCTTCTCAGCAAGAAGCACTAGACTCATGGAGGACACAACTGGATGTGGCTTGGGTGGGGCTGCAAGTTGGGGGAGGCAGAGTTTCAAGGAGTCCTCTGAGTGAAGCAACCTCTGTTATCCAGTTGATAACATCTCAGCTATGGCAGTGCAGAGTCAGCACAGTGGGAGGGGGAAGGGCTCAAGAGAGAAACAATGGATAACGCCAGCACTGCTGCCCAGGAGAGATCCTTGCCTCCAGCCCTGACTCCGACAACTCAGTGTCCCCCTATAAGTCCCTGGTGCCCCCTGTGTAGCCGACCTGGTGCTGGTGCTCAGAGCAAGCAGGTCTATCACCATGAAAGTCCATTCACAGACATGGCCCCTTTAAGAGGTGTCTGCAGCTTCTGGCTGCTGCTGCCACAGCCTCTGTCCCACTCCGCTGCTTGCTTGCTCGGGACCAGGCAGCCTTGCGTCTTCACCTCCTCCTGCCTTCTACCATTGCAGGTTGATTATTTCTCTCTCTAGTTGTAGGCCTTCTGATTACCTAGATTCCAAGTAACTTTGCTTGCTGTTTGCTCCATGTTTCTGTCACAACTTTGATTTGGTCACAAGAGGGATGAACAAAGAGCTTCTATCATCTACACCATTTTTTCCCTCTGCAGAGACACATTTTTGATACAGGCGCAAAAACAATTCAATGGATAGTCTTTTCAATAAATGTTTCTGGAATTAATGGGCATCTACATGCGGGAAAATGAACATTGACATGCACCTCATTCATGGCTGGTAGGAATGCACAATGGTAGAACCACTTTGGAGGACAGTTTGGGAGTTTCGTATAAAAACTCAGCAATCCCACTCCTATGTACTTACCCATATGAATTGAAAACATGCTCACACAGAAACCCGTATGCTAATGTTTACTGCGGCTTTATCCATAATCACCAAGAACATGGAAGCAGCCAAGTTATCTAACAGGTGAATCAAACAAACTGTAGTACATCCGTACGATGGAATATTATTCAGCAATAAAAGGAACAGGCTATTAATTCACATGATATGGATGAATCAAGTAAAAGAAGATAGACCAAGAACACTACATATTGTATGATTCCACTCATATGACATTTTGGAAAAAGCAGGACTACAGTTAAAATTCAGAAGTACATTATTCTAAGGCATTTCAAGGAAACAAAACTGATGGGTTATGTGGTTTTTTTGTTTTTGTTTTTTAACAGGGATAGTTCTGACCAGGTAGACTTGGGTGGGAATTCATGGGCATCCATATACCATCTCTTTTTAAATAAATGTATTTAATTTTAAAAACAAGGTAATATATTCACATAGTTTAAAATTCAAAAACCATATATAAAATTTTATGCAATATATGGTGTCAGATGGGTACTAGATCAGGATGATCCTTTTGAAAATTATACCAGAAACTAATATTGTACGTTAACTGTAATTGAATAAAAAATATCAAAAATAAAAGTTTATGCAGTGAAAAAAACTCTCTATCCCTCTACCCCTGGCCATGCAGAGCCCCAAACTATCAATGCCTGAATATCTTTCCAGAAATATTTTATGTCTATGTAAGCAAAAATGTATATATTATTGCCCCAATATTTTACACAAAAGGTAGCATATGATACACACTATTCTGTTTCTTGCTTTTTTCCATTTTGTATGTCTTGGAAATCATGCAATAACAGCATAATATATTCTACTGTACAATCAAGCCTTGATATATACTTAAGATATTACCAATATTTTACTATTACAAGAAATACTCCAAGTAACATGCAAATTTGAATAAATTTCTGGAAGTGTTGGCTGGGTCAAAGGATATGTGCATTTATAATTTTGATGGCTATTTCCAAGTCTCTGACTTTTAAAATGTCAGGGAATTTTCATTTTTAACTTTTATCCTAGGAGAAAAGAAGGGAAGCTGAGATTCTGTCACCAGGCAATTTTCTGGAGGAATGTACAATGCTAAAATGTACAAAGTGGTCCTTCCACTCAGTTTCCGTCATGTGCTTCCTAGGGTCCAACTGCATTTTCATGTAATATATTTCAGGCTAGAAGGTGGCTGTAAAGCCTATTTCAGTTATGTGAAAGGTGTTATTTCTGAAAACTTCACAATCGAAGGCCAAAGGCTGATGCCTCAAATTGCTGGTCACTGGCCACTCACTTCACAGCACAATATTGGATACTTCCCTATAACCACAGGGAGATTTTTTAAATCTTGATCAAGTAAAACATATTTACTGAGAATCCTTTGTCCTTATTACAACGCCCAAGTAAGGATTTCTTCTCTTAGGTAAAAACTATAAATCGCAAAGAGGTTATGAGAAAAGGCTGAAAATGTTTCATCTTTCAGGTATGGAGTCCCAATTAACTGT